GACCTATCAAGAGCAATGATGGAGTGAAATCACTTTGCGCTTTTATTTAATTGTAATCAATGCTCCTTCAAAACATCCTTCATTCCGGTGGCTGGGATGTCAAACATTAAATATTCAATGATACTTTACACTCCCCAAAGGCTTAAAAAACAAATCTTTTGGTGCCCTAAGACTTTTGTGAAGTCCTGGATATAAATATAAATATTGGTAGTGTGGGCAAAATCTTAAATGTTTTTCATGTTAAGTTGTTTTAAAGTGTTGAGAAATGTTCAATGTGTATTTTTTAATGTTATAAGTATCCTAATGGTATTTTGTTGAACTAAAATAAAGCAAAGTTGTTTGTTTGGCTGTCAGCTATCATTTCACTGCTTTTTAGTGATGTTTTAAGTTTTTGCCATGGTATTGTTTCAGTTTTTTTTCTTCTTTTAAAGTTACATAAAATAACCTGTTTTGTCAGCCACTGCTTGTTCTCATTGCAGCAAAAATTGCAAATATAGCTCGAGTCACTGTCCATTTTTCATCATACAAAACTAAGGCATGCCAATTGAGACAACTATACATCAGAAAATATGGTCATGTTGTACCACACCAAAAAAGGATGCCACCAAATCACTTCTGGTGCAGCCAACTGAAAGAATTGAAAGCACCAGTGCTACCAGTGCAAACGTTTGTGTAGAGTCCAATTTAACAAACTGGTTAATTGTTAATATTGGAAAAGGTAATCAATATTTCTCCACTCTCACCTCTTAGTGAAAGAATTGAGACCATTTGAATGACACCAAACAATTGCACGTTTTTTTCAAAAAAATACAATAACTTACCTGATATGATCAAGTGTGCAAACAAATCTAGATGAACAAATATAGTGCCATAGAATACAACTGATCTAATTGATATGATTGCAATATGCGTATGTTACACCACACATGGCAAAAAGACTAATGGAGCAAAACTTTAAGCTGTCGGAATGCAAAAACGAAAACCACATTTTGATCCTTGGTTACGAAATGCATAAAGAGGCAAAGAAGTATGGACAACAAAGGGATGATAGAGATGTTCACGAGTAATTAGTTGTAATAGAGAAAGCTAGGACTTGTTGTGTTTTGATTGGCAGGACTTGGCCCAGAGCTAGCTACTTTAAACACACTTATTTCAAAAGCATCTAAAGAAAGCGTCCTGTGAATAAGAAAGACACAATAGAGCAAAAATGAGGGGCGTGAGGCAAAGCAAATCCAAGATGTCGTTTGAAGAGAATTGCAACTACGTGATACCACTACCAAGCGAATGAAGTGGTCATGTGACTGCCTGTGACGCAGCACACAGGCTGGCTAAGAGCAAAGGAGGGAAAGATGGATGGATCACAGAGGAGGGTGGCTGAAAAAAAGGGGGCCGATGCCGGAGCTGGTGGGGGGGATTGGCGGGGAGATGGGCAAAATCCAAAATAAACAACACCGCACTGCACATGGGAGCAACTGGCACCAGCGTGCTATTATCGATTGACAATTTGTACCTCATTCACATGTCATTCTGCGGAAGCAGAGCGCTGCAGCCTTATAAGGCAACATTGGTGAGCGTGACTCAAACAGAAGAGACAAGGGCGGGAGAGCGAGAGACTGAGAAGAGAGCACGGGATGAGATGGGAGGCGTGAATGGAATGAGTGGAGAAAAAAAGGCTTTTGCAGAGATACCCCAAGCCAACCTATTGGCTGAACTTAAGGGGAACTGCATCCTTAATAGGCTTAAGTAAATCCTCTTTCGTCACAAGTGGACCATACACTGCAAGGTCACAAATACATAAACATCAGCATTTATTCCATGAGTATGGTGTGACAGAGTGGGAGTTTTACTCAGTTCTTATCTGAAACTGTTGCTGTGTTGGAAGCTCTACTCTGGGCTGGTCAAGGACACAAAATGAAACTGTTTAGCGGATGCGCTCACGTGTACGGCAAAGGAGAAAATGCACGGAACAGGTTTTTGTTATTGTGTGTCCAAATGCCACTATCAGTCAGAGGGAGAGCACCTTCATAAAGCCGCAAGAGTGTGGGGCAGGAGCACAGTGGGTGGACTGTGTCAAGCAGACCATTGTTATCCGATACCAGAAGGTGGGTATCAGAGCTGTGGGTCACAAGACACACACACACACACACACACACACACACACACACACACACACACACACACACACAAAAAAGAGAAACAAATGGCGGCACAAAACACACACACACACACACACACACACACAAAACAACTCATCGGCCTTAATTGCAACAAAACATCCATCCATATCCATATATCCATTTTCTAATCCGCTCATGCTCACGAGGATCGCGGGCATGTTGGAGCCTATCTCAGCCGTTTTAGGGCAGTAGGCGGGGTACACCCTGAACTGGTTGCCAGCCAATCGCAGGACACACATAGACGAAAAACCATTCGCTCTCACAATCACACCTCGGGATAATTTGGAGTGTTCCATTAACCCGCCACGCATGTTTTGGGGATGTGGGAGGAAACCGGAGTACCCAGAGAAAACCCACGCAGGCACGGGGAGAACATGCAAACTCCATACAGGACGGCCGGAGCCGGAATTGAACCCTGCGCCTCTGCACTGTGAGGCCGACGTGCTAACCAGTCATCACTGTGCCGCCCGCAACAAAACATTTGGACAAAATATGGACAGGTGGGTGGGGCAAGGATAAAATAAGAGGAGGTCTGAGGAGGTTACTATTGGCCACGTTTGCAAGGATGAAAATGGAAAGGACACAGGGAGAGGCGTATGCCGATGTGACTGCAGGACATCGTGTACATCTGTTGAGCGGTTGTAATAAAGTGAATGGAGGAAGAGGAGGCGGGGGTGGGGGCATTTGAGCTACGTGATCATAGCCAGGCAATGACAATTTGTTGGTCTACTTTTGCAATCATTTATAGCTGTCACATGACAAAACCTTACATAGCCCACAATTTTTTTTATCTCATATCTCAGATCGTAAAAGAGCTCATTAATAACACCCATGCCCCGACAACATGGCAATATCCGCGCCGGAGGCATGACCTTGTCCTGGTTGCGGGATATGGGAACACTCTGCCAGCAACAATCATCAGCAGATCCATGACACACCTCTTGCTGGTGTTTAAACAAACTTACAGCAGGGAGTAGGTTACATGACGAGTCAAACATTAAGTAATTTGCATTATATTACGACAGCATGTCATCGTAACATCACAAAAAAAGGTCTGTATCCATGGCTACAGTCTATTCTACAACCTTGTGTAATCAGTTTACATGTTCTCCCTTTGCTTACCCACGTTTTCAGTGGGTTTCTCCTCCCACATTCCAAAAACATGCATGATAAACAGGACACTTTAAATTCTCCATGTGAGGGTGAATTATTGTTTGTCTGTAAAAAGTCTACACACCCCTGTTTGAATGCAAGGATTTTGTCATATTAAACAAGATAAAGATATGTAACTTAAAATCTTATCCGACATGAATGTAGTCTATGTCCTGTACAACTCAATTGAAAATAAATTATATAAAATGTGTGTGTGTTTGCGTCTGAGTGTTTCGTGTGTGTGTGTGTGTGTGTGTGTGTGTGTGTGTGTGTGTGTGTGTGTGTGTATGTGTGTGTGTGCGTGCGTGCGTGCGTGCGTGCGTGCGTGCGTGCGTGCGTGCGTGCGTGCGTGTGTATGATGAATATGGATGAAGCTTCATGGTAGGCAAGGTGTTCTTTAGGTGATGAGCAGGGTTGTGTTTGTGCCAAACATACTGTATGTTTTGGATTTATGGCCAAAAAGTGCAAGACTGGTTTCACTGGTACATTAAAAAAAAAAAAAAAGACTCCCAGACATATGTAACAATATGTGTTATGGCCTGTTTTTCTTCTAGGATCGGAGCCAAGGTGGAATGAATGATGAACAGTTCCAAATGGCAGGCAGTGTTGGCATAAAACCTTCAGGCCTCTGCTAGAATGCAAAAAATGCCAAGAAAAGTCTCCTAGAACATCTGAACTTCAATTATGGTAAAGTCGTGGCTCGTTGTGCTGACTCACATAAGTTGAATGAATGTGATTGGTTATTTCTGAACACAGCCTCATCCCAGTTCAAAGAGGGTGTGCACACTGATACCCTCATCAAATAGACTTAAAAAATGAAGTGAGTTGTACAGGTTGTCGGTCGTACTGGTTGGAAAAAGTTTTGAAATGATTAATTATTCAGGACTATGTCACTTTTTATATCGGTATAATTGGCATGCGAGTAGCGAGAAACCATTGAAGGGTCAACCTCAATCCCAACGTGTGGACAACCTTTACAGAAAATGCATGGCTGGATCTGCTGCTACATAATCAAGCATGGGAGGTCCGTTTCAAACACCCTCCTCTGATAAGCTTTGATTTCTTGCTTAATACTGTAAATGATTGACAAAAAAAGTCCAAACTTTGCCCCTGTTTGTCAATGCAACCACGTCATGTTTTTTACACATCATATGACAAAGTACTAAGGGTTAGTGAAACTCACCTCCTCCATTCTTGTAGCAAAGGTAAGGGAAGCGCCATACGTTGCCCAAGCCGACAGCAAAACCTACACAGGACATGATGAAGTCCATCTGTCTGGTCCAGGTTTCTCTCTCCACCGCTGGCACTGCGTCAGCCCCGGCTATATATATTCATGTTATTATTTGAAAGGGCTGATGCGGATTGACAAATACTACATGAAAGTGTCAAAGTTAGCTAATTTACAATAGATGTATAAGGTCTAAAGGCGGCACGGTGATTCACTGGTTAGCATGCCAATCTCACGGTGTAGTGTTCGATTCTGGCTCTGGCCTTCCTGTGTGGAGTTTGCATGTTCTCGCCTGTGCCTGTGTGGGTTTAAGCTTTGATTTCTTGCTTAATACTGTAAATGATTGACAAAAAAAGTCCAAACTTTGCCCCTGTTTGTCAATGCAACCACGTCATGTTTTTTACACATCATATGACAAAGTACTAAGGGTTAGTGAAACTCACCTCCTCCATTCTTGTAGCAAAGGTAAGGGAAGCGCCATACGTTGCCCAAGCCGACAGCAAAACCTACACAGGACATGATGAAGTCCATCTGTCTGGTCCAGGTTTCTCTCTCCACCGCTGGCACTGCGTCAGCCCCGGCAACAGTTCCATCCTGGATCTGTGGCGGAATGGCTCCACCGCCCTCAGCGCAGCCTGGGCCCTCTCCGGGCACCGACACCAGGGGATAAGCCGATCCCCCACCCTCACTTTCAAATATCTCTCCAGCCTCCAACGGAGGGAGGCTGATTTCACCTGCATGGGAAAAGATGGGAAGATAGTGAAATGAAAGAGGGGGGGAGATGTGAATATAGTTCATCTTGAGTCGCCTGACTCCGGGTACTGCGGTTTCCTCCCACATTCCAAAAACATGCATGGCAGGTTAAAGGAACACTCGAAATTTTCCTTGGGTGTGATTGCGATCGTGGATGGTTGTTCATCTTTGTGTGCCCTGCGATTGGCTGGCAACCAGTTCAGGGCGTACCCCGCCTACTTCCCGATGACGGCTGCGATAGGCTCCAGCACACCTGCAACCCTTGTGAGGATAACCGGATTAGTAAATGGATGGATGGATGGATATAAAGTATGCACACGCCTATAAATGTCATGTTTTTTTTTTGTTTGTTTTTTTTTTAACAGAAAAAAGTTATACCATTAGAAATAATTTCCAAACTGTTTTCAACATTCATGTGACCTACTCCTACTTTTCAAGAAGGGAATTCTTTTTTTAGACAAAGTAAACTATCAATGTGCTTGCTCAAGTGTGCACACCATCTATTAAGTGTGGATGCGGCTGTGTTTTAAAAGAATTAACCAATCACATTCAAACTCATGCCCAATTGGAGTCGGCACACACCTGCCACAAATTAAAGTGACCCTGAGTAACCTCAAAAACATTTAAGCTGGTTTAGTAGGATTTTCCTGGCCTTTTTGTTTCTAGCAAAAGCCTGAGGGTTTTGTGCTTACACTGACTGCTATGTGGAGCTATTCATAATTACCCGCACCTTGTCTAGAGCTCGTTCCAGCTGAAAAACCATACTGTCAAAGCATGATGCTGCCAACCATAATTCTTCACCATAGGTCAGATGTTCTTTTGAGAAGGAGCAGTGTTGCACTTACACCAAACATACCTTTTGGAATTATGACCAAAAAGTTCCACCATGGTTTCATCGGACTATAACACATTTTGTCATTTTTTTGGAGAGATTTTGATATGGTGTTTTCCCATAGTTCCAAAATGTATGTTTTAAGCAAACTTTGCAGAGCACGTCAGCAAGATGAACACACCAGCAGTGAAGCATGGTGGTGTTGAGTGGGGCCTTAGACAAATATCAGTCAATGATAGCACAAAATCTTCAGGCTTCTGCTTGAAAGCAAAATAAAAGTCAGGTAGGCCACTAGAACATCTGACTTTTAATGTGCAACCACATTGTCTCAGTTTTACTCCCCCTCTCAAAAAAAGATCAAACTTTTTTTTTACTTATGTTGTACAGCTAATAGTTCACATTAATGGTGGAAAAAGAAATGTTTATCAGTTATTTTTTTTAAATCACAAACACCTTGTGTTTGAACAGGGATGTGTAGACTTTTTTTTATAACCATTGCATGCGGATGGAAGGAAAGAGGGATTGTGCATTGTTGATTACTTAAAACATTGCTTCAGGCTTAAAAAAATACTCAGCATCCTATCTTCATCGTGCTAGCCTGATAAATTGTTATGTTTATACTCATGTTGCTGTTGTGTTGTCATCACTGAGTGAACCCTCCCCCGACATTTATTGCGGCTGTCTGCATCTCACTCAGAATGATTGGTGTGCTGCAGCACAGCGCAGTAGACTGACCACGCTGCTATGTTCTGCACCTCGAGCTTCTCTGCCGGTCGTGACCGAGTTCGCTTTTTCAGCATTTTGGATGCATCACAGTGGAGTGTTTACAAGAAACAGAGGCAATGTCATCCTCGGGGTGCAATTGCATGATTATTAGAGCAGCCGCCTCTTGTGGATGCAAAGTGAGGCAGCTCAATCCAGATCAGAGCAGTTTGGGGTGTGTGTGATCAGAAAAGGCATAAAGTGGGCAAGGTAAAGGAATGAATGTGGTTACATCCTGCTTTGTCGGGAATAAACATGATACAATAGAATTTATATTAAAATTAAGATGACATTATTGCAAAATGGAACCTCTATTTGGGGAATCTCATCATTCCATTCATTCATTTTCAGCCACTTATTTTATTCAGGGTCACAGGTGACCCGGAGCCTGTTTTAGCTGACCAGTCAATCAGGGCACAAGCATTCACACCTAAAGACAACTCAGAGTCTTCAGTCAACCTTACATGCATAATTTTGGAATGTAGGAAGAAGCCAGAATATGTGGGAAAACCCACACAAGCCTGTGCAAACTCAACACAAGAAGAGCTGAGCTCAGATTCAAACTAAGAACCACTCACTGTGAGGCAGATCACATCAGTCCATTCATTTGACAGCATAAAACCCAATGGAATTGGAGCATGCATGCCCGAGTGGCAAAGTTTGAAAATATTTGGGTCGGGACTGGGTGTCAAAATCATCAAACCAATTTGAGATACAGTTTTTGAGATTTTCTTTGAACTGATGTGAGGTTTTGTGGCTGTTGTGACAACAGTTGAGTTTGCATTTTGCACGTCAAATGCTGGTGCTGAGGTTGCCCTTTCCATAACGTCAAAGCTGTGACTTAATATGTAACATGATAAATAACGATGCAACATACTCACCTCGACTACTTCCTTCCAGCTCGGTTGACATATTGATGAACTGCGTCAGAAAAAAAAATGAGTGTGAAATTTAAATTGGGGTGGGGGGGAAGCGAGCTGGCTGTTGGTTTTTAGACGAGGGAGGGTTAACGTGCCAAGAAAGGCAGATATATGTTTAGCACCCTCTTTTCTGATTTTCTCAGTTTATTTCGCCTGTTTGAAATATAAAAAAAAATACAATTAAGAATATTACGAAATCGTTTTTTTTCCACACGTTGGAACGCCTAAACACAGCCAAGAGATGATTTTATAAAAAAAAATGTCAGCAGGCGCCGTGGGACTCAGGAGACTCAGAAGCAGTCGACGAAGCACTTGAAGGTAAGCCTGAAGAATCTCATGGAGGACCGTTAGACGAAAAAGAGCCGCTGCCTTAGGGTGAACGGGTGCGTTTAAATTGTTTTTTTCTTTTCCAACGAGTTGTTCCAAAAAGCCGATTCAGGAGCCCGTGTTGGTCCTTCTGGTGATGCCGCGGTGCAGACTGAGAGAACAAGTGACGTTCCAGACATTGTCGTCACCCCTCCACCCCTCCCCCGCTGCTCAGCCGTCATTGGCTAATGGAGGCAAGCACGTACACTGCATCATCATCATCAGAACCCGCTATGGTACAATGACAGAATCCCGTGGACGGATGACTTGATTGGACATACGTCACTGCAAGACAAGCAGGCAAAAAGCGGAGGCGTTCAAAATGCACCTTCATGGCGGCTGTCATGTGCGCTACATCCACCTGCAGGTGCAAACAGTCTTTGCCATTTGGCCTGATACCGGTTATTACTTTTACCGCTTGACACATACCACTATACATTCCATAGGGGGCTCATTCCAGAGTCCAAATTTAACACTGATAAATCGCTGCCTTGAGACAGTGTCTTAAAAGAAGGTTTAATGTGCACCAACGTTCTGCTGATCACCAATCATCCATTAGCCGCTGCAGCATTTAACGGGTTTCACACGCAGAGCTTGCCAACAGGCTCGTGTGCTACAGCTTCCACCTAGTGGACAAGGCGTATATTGCCAGATTCGCGTGAAAATGTGGACGACACGTACTCATAAACCTCATTTTATAAAACAGTTGAAAGATAGACGCAGTACAGCAACAATAATTCCACCAACTGTCTAAAAAGGTAATAAATATTTCAGGTAAGTTTTATAAAAGCACATATGAAGTAATTAAATGCGTTAAAAACAGATTAAATTAATCTTGGACTGGCGGCAAGAGTCATCATTTGCCGTCGGCCATGTGTTCACATGTATGGGCAGCAGGGTGTTGGACTGGTTAGCACGTCCGCCGCACAGTGCAGAGGTCCAGGGTTTGATTCCGGGCTGTGGGGTTGGCATGTTCTCTCCGTGCCAGTAATCCGGTTTCCTCCAAAATCGCAGGTTAATGGAACACTAAATTGTCCCAAGGCGTGAGTGTGAATGGTCGTTCTTCTACGCGTGCGCTGCGATTGGTTGAAAACCAGTTCAGGGTGTACCCATCCTACTGCGGCTGGGATAGGCCCCGGCACGCCCGTGACCCATCGCGAGGAAAGCAGATCAGATAATGGATGGACGTTTTTTAATAAATTAATGAATAAATACTTTCAAAATGCACCTTCACGGTTGCCATTTAGGGTCGCATCAGACCACTATATTCATAGGGGACTCCTTCCAGAGACTTGCATAAATCTTAATGGACTGCTGCCCTGTTTTAACTGCAGGTTAAATAATGTGCACTAAAGTCCTGCTGACCATGACCATTAAGCATCCATTACAGCCGTTGCAGCGGTCAATGGATATTCACATCTTCACACACAGCAACAGCTGACATCTAGTGAAGGCAGCGTACTATGAGGTTTACATGAAATAAACACGGACAATATTGATTCACCATTTTCACACTTCATTTCATACAACACAGTTGAGGGACAGAGGCAGTGCAACATCAATAAATATGCATTCCAACAACTGGCCAAATAAATATTACAAAACAATAAATTAAACGTGTTATAAATATAGATTAAATTATTATTGATAGACATAACTGGTGACAAGATGAACAGCTATTTTTATCTTTTTAATACAGACGAGCCCTCAATGGGCAGTTGGTGTGGCATACCCTTTGAGATCTTAAAATTATTAAACTTCACAAATACAAACCCAATTTTCAATGAAGTGTTGAACAAAAATAAAAACAGAAGAGCATGATTTGCAAATCATGTTCAACCTATGTTTAAATGAAAATACCACACAGACAAGACATTTAATGTTCAAATTGATACACTCTATATTGTTTTTAGCAAAAAATCATGAACTTAGAATTTTATGGTTGCAATGCGTTCCAAAAAAACCTGGCACAGGTGGCAAAAAAGAAAGTTGAGCAATGCTCATCAAACATCAGATTGGAATATTTCACAGGGGAACAGCCGAACTGGGAACAGGTGGATACCTTATTACCTACATCCGTAAGCGCAACGTAAAACTCTACATACAAAGCAAAAGCCAATGATCAAGAACACCCAGAAACGCCGCCAGCTTCTCTGGGCCCGAGCTCACCTAAGATGGATTGATGCAAAGTGGGAAACTGTTCTGTGGTTTGATGAGTCCACATTTCAAATTGTTTTGGGAAATTGTGGACGCCGATCCATCCGGACTGTTATGGACGCAAAGTCCAAAAGCCAGCACCTGTGATGGCATGGGGCTGTGTTGATGCCAATGGCATGGATAACTTAAACACATCTGTTAAGGCACTATTAATGCTGAAAGGTAAATAAAGGTTTTGGAGACAACATATGCTGCCCTCCAAATTTATTTTTCAGGGATGCCCCTGCTAACATTATTTCAGCAAGACAATGCCAAACCACATTCTGGACATGTTAAACCAGCGGGGCTTTGTCGTAAAAGAGTGCGGGTACTAGACTGGCCTGCCTGCAGTCCAGACCTGTTTCCCATTGAAAATGTGTGGCACATCATGAGACCCTGGACTGTTGAACCGCTGAAGCTGTACACCAAGCAAGAATGGGAAAGAATTCCACCTACAAAGCTTCAAGAATTAGTGACCTCAGTTCCTAAACATATATTGAATGTTGTGAAAAGAAAAGGTAATCTAAGACAGTGGTAAACATGACCCTGTCCTGGCTTCTTTGGAACATCTTGCAGCCATTAAATTCTCAGTTAATGATTATGTGCAAAAAATAATGAAGTTTATCAGTTTGAACATTAAATATACTGTATTGTCTTAAATTAAATATAGGTTAAACATGATTTGCAAATCATTGTATTGTTTTTATTCATGTTTAACACAATGGCCCTACTTGATTGGAATTGGGTTTTGATGTCCAATAAACATTCTTCAGTGATATCTTCAGAAACGGCAGATGCCAGTTAAAGTGACTGAAAAGAAATGAAAAGAAACTCCCTTCATTTCTTTCTCAAATAGGTGACATTTTTGGTGTGACAAATTTTTAATTTTTTTTTTTTAAAATCTATTGCATGTGAAGGCATTAGCCCACCGAGCTCCCTAATAATATTCTCTTTTAAAACTGATGCGATGATGCAAGACCAAACTGTGATTTGCCTTTAAATGTATCCAACACTGAGGTAAATGTGTCAAGGGGTGTACAAGTACACTAGAGGTCCTGATGGAGATTCAAGTGGGAAAATGGTTGGGAATGTTCCTCCATGCCTGACTTAGCCTGATGCCTTTCAGCAACTAGTCTCTGGTAACGGGCCTGCATCTGGTAATCTGGGTCCACGTTGACCCAGCTGTTGGCAACCCATTTTAGGCCGCGTTTCACCGGGCAGTCTCCATGGAGTGAATACTCATCCAGCTCACCCATCCAACCTGAGGAAGGCAAAGGACAAGGACAGTTTTCTTTTTTACACAATTGTTTGTATTTCTACACACACACACACACACACACACACACACACACACACACACACACACACACACACACACACACACACACACACACAAGAAAGTTGGGTGAACTCAAAATTTCAAAGCAACAAACCAATAAAATTTTAAATTGGACAATTGAAATGAAAAGTTTTGCCGCCATGAAAACCGTCTCTCTCGCATTTCACAACAAAGTCCATTGTATGCCAACTCAACTAAAACAGCTGAAGTAGTAAAAACAACTGAGCAAATTGTTTTGGAGCAAACAACTCACTTTTGTGCTAACTAACATTGGTGCCATAAATGTCATTAATTGAATTACTGTTGTAGCGCAAAAAAAAAAAAAAATACAAATTGTGCTTTCTCAGGGTACTCATGTACAGCGTGTGAGTACTTTAGCCACCACTGCAAATGGGGAATACAAGACACCAGCTAATGCAATACTTCAGATACAACGAATGCAAATAGGGTGGAAAGGGGGGACTTCCGACAAATAGGTTCAAACACCACATGATCGTTTTAAATGCAGTGCTAGGTTCAAAGGACAGGTGCTTCTATTCTTGACCTTGGCCATCAGAGAGATGGTTGTACAAGAGGAGTGCCGTCCCAGCAGTGGGCTTTATTCTCAGGTTCCCTCGGCCACAGGTTTTCTGAGTGTCTCTTAAATCAACTCCATCTTGGACCAGTGCCTGTATCACACAAACAGCTGTAAGCAAACAATTGCCTGTAGGGTAATTGGTTGTCGTACCACTCGGATAATTTGCTAAGTATCCGATTCCTGTCATGCATCAGCACAATCAAAATTCATTTGATGGTCAGCTGTCATTATTTTCTAGTGCTGCGATTGTTTAGGAACAAGTCCAGTGGAACCTTGACTAACAAATATATGCCTCTCAAAACAATTTTCTCCATTTAAATGCCCCGTGACATTTTTTTGTTGAAAAAAACCCAAAACTCCATTATATTGGTTTTCTAAAGCGTAATTAAGCCGAAAAAATACAAAACAGGCTCATTTAGGTTGACCGGTTACTTCGGCGTGTGCGTCTGCTACATGCTCTTGTGAGTGTTGTCATTTTGTATTTGTTTAACTGTGTGCTTCATTCAATTTTACGAGCCGCTATCATCCACTCTCTTGAGGAAGAATTCTCACCAGTTCATTGTAGGTACGGTTGTCGGCCACAGGAAAGGTGGTCTCACCTCCTTCCTCGACAGAGCTGAGGTAGATCAACACAGTAAGATACCTGCAACAAAATGAAAAATACAACATAGAAACTTGATCATTTATTTGAATGTCTGCTACTGTGATAACATTACTTCAAGAATATCACGGGACAAACACCTGCAGGAGACTTCTGTTAGCATGGACGTGTTACCCGCCAGTCGCGTGTGTGAACAGGCGGTCTCTTTATGGGGAGGACTGCTGTCGTGATGAGCATCGCTGAAGTCTCCGGGCTCAAACCGAAACACTTGCAGTAGCTCACTCATGTCAACCAATGCGGTCGGCAGACGTGTCAGGCTGTTTACTCTGAGTAAATAGCAGAGTGAAATTGGAAAGTAAATAAGGTCTAAGATCAAGCGTGTAAGTGGAGGTACCTGATTCTCAGTGTCTGCAGCACGTGGTGGGATCCTGGGCCTTGATAAAGCCCGGTGCGTTTGCTTCTCTGTTTGAACTGATTCCGGTGCTTCCCATTTTGCTCTTGCCCTGGTCCTTGGGACACATCGTAAACACGCTTAAACTCCTCAAGGTTGAGCATCCCTGTAAAAGGACACATGCGGTCCATTAGTGAACAAATACTTGGCTGCCAACTCTCGCTAAAAGCTGTGCCCCACTGTTGTATGGTGTTCCACAGGGTTCAATTTTGGCACCCGTGCTGTTTTCCTTATATTTCTTGCTCCTGGGTTCTATCTTAAGAAATAATGGAATTTCCTTTCACTGCTATGCAGATGACAGTCAAATCTATGTCTTGCTGAACAAAAAGGACCCTTTCTCCTTCGGGCCAATTTTGTCCTGTGGGCAGGAAATCAAGTCCTGGATGGCAGTGAATTTCTTGGATTTCATTGAAAACAAAAGTTATGGTTTTTGGTCCCAGCGGCCCTTAGACATCCCATCCTGTTGACTTGGGGCCATGGCACCTTATCGAAAGCCAACAGTTTGTAACTTGGGTTTTAGATTAGACAGGGATTTTAAATTGGACTGGTTTGTGGAGTCTGCTGCATTTGTGTTATTAAAATGAATCATTATTAATTCATAATTAATTGTTCATTTCTTTTATTAATGTATTGTTTTCACTCTCTTTGCTATTGTATGACTGATTTTTACTCCATACACTTTCTATGCAGCAATGGTTGTTTTAAAGTGCTATATAAAGAGATTTGAGTTGTAAACCACTCAATGAATCTCCGTGTTACCATGAATCTACTTCAGTTGAACTCTAACATTTACTCTCTACAAATACTGTACACTCCTCATAAAACTGTTAGGGATATTGATGATGTCAAAATTTGAAGAAAAAAAAAAGCTTAAATACCGATTCTAACTGAGAGGAACTGCCATGGAAAACCTAACTTCAGGCTTAACCACTTCAATGCCACAAACTGCAAATACAGTACCGTACTTTTGTCTTGGGCCGCTGTTAATCATGATTTCATCATTTTTCTACCTTTCACAGCTCCCCATCAAGACAATTCAACTTTTGCTCTTCATAATTTGCTGCCCGTCTATCTGCATACATGGCAATGGCGAGTGATGAAAAAAGCGGAAGGGGCGTGGCCTGGTCGGGGGCGTGGCCTGGACGGGGCGTGGTTACTTACAAAAGTGGCACTCAACATACTGAAGATGAAGTGTATTCAATTTACACACTATTTGAAACTTTAACAGAAAAAAAATCCCAAGATTGTTCACTATTCTTTCAAGTGAAAATTTGTGCAATTTTGCTTATGCATTCCTAGTGAGCACCAATATGTAACTGCAAATTTGCTGCTCAAAATCAAAACTAAAAAAGTAAACACATCCCCTGCCATATTTAAGATTTGTTCATGACTTGTATTCATAAAGTGTTGTGTAAATGTGATAAAAAGCTGTTGATTCTTACCTCATACAGTGATAGTGAATATTTATTATGCATACAATTTATTATGCATAACCGTGCTTTATTATCCAAGACAAAACGTGAATTATCAATATGAATATAAAACGCAAATAAAAACAAATAAATGTTATCATGCTGTTGCTACAAATGCATACCAAATAAAATTGAA